ACACAAAAGGCAGATGCGATGACTTTGGAGTAACTCATATACAAAGTAATCCTATTTTTATTGAAGCTAGCCACATCAGCATTACCACACACATCATGTTTAGTGCAAAGTTGACATTGACTGTCAAGACAGTCACCAAAACCTCAAATTAAAGAAAGCTATCTTAGATTTCCACAATTTCCCAGTTTGGGATCAATAAAGTAATTCTATTCTATTTTATTTTCAACTTATAAACATTTCTAAAATATAACACTACTTGCTACTAACAAAAATAACAACTCACATTCTAATGGCTATGGTATATAACTAGCATGAATAGAAGACAATACTCAGTTACAAACCAATTCTAAATGAAGCAGAGGTCAGGAGTGAAGTTACTTTATCTTGTAACTCAATACTTCCCAATATTTCTGTTTCTATCCATTTCTTTTTGTCTGTTAGCAACATCTGCATAAATGATAGCAGCTGGACCGTTTCTTTTAATTAACACCCAGTTCTTTGAAACATATACCTGGTTAAACACTTAGAACCAAGTAGTCTTGAATGCACTCAAACAGCTAGCACTGCTTTGGGCTATAAACTGGTGCTATATATCACCAGGTCGGGACACAGACAACAAATCTGAGCCGTAGCCTACAGCCAGTGGCCTGCTCCAACCTGTGGATTTTATAAAGGAAGACTGTGCTGAACACTACCAATTATACTCATATCATAAATTTGTTACTCGTATCAAATTAAATATGAGCAGATGGTTTTAAGTGAAAGTTTAAATTTGATCAATGACTAAGCATGCTGACTCTCTTGTTGATGCTTTTTCAGGGTGTGGCTTTGAGAGTTTTTCGTGTAGCTTTCACTACAACACATGACACATACATGCACATTGTTTGGTCCAAACTGAACACAATTAATTATTAGGCTGTAAACTTTCCCCCCCACTCCATAGTATTGAGCTTGGTGTAATAAACCAAATGTAAAAGCTTGGGGTGAGGCTTGGAACAGAAGTACCAGTTTGCCCTCCATTTAAGAGTAAGAACTGTACAATAAAAGCCTATACTTCCTACTGCTGAAAGGTAAGATTTAGTCACAACCTTTGGTCAAGTGTTGACTCACAAAAGCACCATGATGAGTGGCAGCAAAGCAAACAAAACGACAATGACTGAATTGAGGCAATCACTCAAAAACGTTAAACATTTGCAAGCAACTTCTGAACTGAGAGACAGGTCTGGGTGTGGTGATACACTGCAGAGGTACACACTCTTGGAAGTTACCAATATCTCATATAATATAACTAAACAAAGTGCATGAATGAATTAAGAGAATTAAAAAAGTCAAGTATACAGGAATAACATTCATTACATCAACTAAAGCTTGCAGTCATTGTGTTTGGTTTGGCTTGTGAACATGTTTCTCTTTCCCTGCCTTGTGATATGAACACTCTTTGATAAGTGTGCGAGAGCTCTGACGGGGGTCACTCTGCGATTACAACTCCCCAACTCGCACACAATCACCAAACATCCTCTTCCCATCCCAGTGAGAAAACCACAAGACTCCCCTTTCAATGCTTAGTATCAAACAAAACGTCACTACAGACCCTCATGTGCAAAGCGGAAGAACAAATGACATTCTTGCATCGCTCAAATTCAACTTGCCGTTGTGCTTGACTTGATTGTTGTGAAGGAATTCCACTAGGAAATAAACACAGATGGGAGGATTAAGACCCCTTCAGCGCTAGAAGACTTCTGTCGCAAGAAATGAAATCCACAAACGGATTTAATGCAGCAGTAATTCACATAAAGTAAGATATCTCCAGGGTGATTGTTGATATTAACACTCAGGTAACGAGCCTTTGAAGGTAATCTAATAATTGAAAAGGAACACATCTTTAATCAGCAATCCATTTCAGAACAGTAATTACAAAAACAGTATCTCCTCTGTACACACTGGAATCTCACATGGCATGGAAGTGTGTGTGTTCTGACTCTGTGTGTGTTTGAGTGTAAAAGAGAAAAGGCCAAGAGTGGGCTGGGCCATTTGGAGACAGGAAAGCACTGGTGTGCAAAAACAAACAAACAAGGCCTAAGCAGCAGTAATTAAGTCCTCATTAGTCCTTGTTATGTACAGGAACGCAGCAGAGCGGCAGACAGTGCTGTCATTTTGGACTAACTGCGGCCAAAGCCTGGACCTGGTATACCCCTGCTCTATGCGATAGTGGGCGTTTACCCACAAACCTCCAGTGTTTCCACCTCAGCTAACACATACAGGCTGATGAGTGTTCTGGACCCATTTTGACGTGCTGGAAGAGCAGGAGGAGGGCCCCTCTGCCAATAGCTAAAGGGCTTGTGAAGTGCGTTTGAGGCTCTTGGGTGTGCGGCAATGTGCGTTATCAAAGAGTAGCGTGAGGCTAGCGGTGCCACGCGCTTTCATCTAGTTTCAGGGAATCATGACAGGTGGCTTTACCAAACACGGAAAAGTTGGTCACATGTGAGTTGGATTCTTTGGGAGGCCAAAAAAACAAGCAGAGTAGGCATGGAAAACGACGGACATTTATGCATGAACTAAAAAGAGAGTGGACAACAGATTGCAAAAAAATGGAGCAAACAACAAAATCCTGCAGGTAAAACAGGGATGAGGTGAGGCAGGCAGTGATAGACACAGAAAAGACAACACAAACTCAGGGAGAAGGAAGAAGGCCTGCACTTAGTTCTTTTATTTCCCGCTCCCCACAGGCACGCACATTCTCTTTTAGCTGCTCTGTAACTGCATACACCTGACCCGACACACCAGCTTAACATCCAATACGCAGGTTGCACGCACACACACGCCCTAACCTGGCCCTGCTGCACCTTTCTACAAATCCTCCACTATTAGTTTGACTCAAAATTGGAGGGAAAAAGACAAGTCAGCAGATGTTTGAGCAGCAAGTTTAGCGGGAGCTGTGTGAGCAACACAACAACCGTAATACACAACAGATAAAAACATGCACAGGATGCATTGAAGGACAGAAAACTAACATGCAGCCAAACAAGTACATCATGAACATATAATTTGGGAATGCATTGTCAGCACACATCCTCCACTCTTCTCTTTACTAAGGCAATAGGACACTTCCTTGTTGTGCATAAAAAATAACCAGTGATTCAGTCAAATTGATCCGGGTGACTCGCCTGCAGACACACAGAGCCACCTCTTACCGGGGAAGGTCTTGGCACCTGTTGCATTTGAACAACAGAGCCTCAGTACCTGGGAAACCAGATAACAACGGCGGTTAAGAGCTCTCAGCGGCCCAGGCTGTGTCAACAATGCCCCCCTCCTTTTGCTGCCTGGGCACACACTTGTATGCACATGCTGAGACGCACCCACACACATTCACATGCATAGATATATTCATGAAAAGACGCGCACTTACTAATGCATAGACAGAATGCATGTATGGATCAAGTTTTATTTGTTAAATTTCATCCTTCAAATACAATGTGGATCCTTGGTGTCAACTGCACAATTAATGCTTCTAGATTCATACAGGTAGAAGTCAAGGTCTGTCTTTTTTGCCAAGAGAAGAAGTTTGAGGTGGGTAATGCAAGGATACACCTGTGATTTCCTGGGGAAATCAGGACGTTTATCCCTTTTTAAATGCTGGTATAAAGTTTTCCCTCACAGGTATGATACTGCAGTTGAAGTTGCAAATCCATCTAAAAGCCATCCGTCTGTCTGAATTATGACCGTGGGGTGTAAACAGATCCAGTCAGTGTCTGAGGCCTCCTCCATTATCCTCTACAGCTCCATTCCCAGACACACCCTTCGACTCCTCTCTCTCTCTCTCTCTCTCTCTCACACACACACACACACACAAAAACACACACACATACAAGTGCCTTACATATGTGTGTATTTCCAGGTGTATTTCAAAGTTAGAAAACAGCAGAAAATCTTCTTAAACTATGAGTGAATTTTGCTCTATAAATTGTGTCAATCCTGCTCAACACGTTTTAAGTGCTGAAAATGTCAAAGTGCTCCTCGCCTAGAGCATATTACCTTTCAGTGCCAACCAGGAACACATCTAAACACACCCACTACTGCAGTCAAATATCAATGCAAATATGACGCACAACCACATACAAACACACACACTACAATCAATCTACATGAGGAGTTTATCAGGCAAATATATTCTATGCAAAAAATATGACATGCATTTTTGAATGCCTTTTAAAAGTTTTTGGAATCATGAGTGACGTAAGAATTGGCCAGATTAAAAAGTAATGGAAGAAAGGATATTATGGCTTTAAGACTAAGGTGCATGTTCAAGCTCTAAAAGCTCGGGATATTAGATTTCCCAGAATGCAACTTGATAGCATCTTTCAATAGAAGCTATCAAGTTGCCTCCTAAATGCCAACATATTTGAAACCCCACACCGCCAGTTTGTAACGCAGGATTCAAATTTAGCCCATCTTTCAAGCCCAAACTCAGGTAATACTGATGGCATCATGATGACATCACCATGGTTTCTTCTCAGAAAATTGCCACATTACACCCATCATTTTCTTTGTGAGGAGTTAAATTAGCATACCCTGCATGTGGTGTCAGAAAAAATTGGAACTATTCTAACTTACAACAACTGGAAAAGTGCCGCTATCCATCATACTGTGATAACAAACATACCTGAAAAGCTTAATTTAAAATGTGAAGCTTGCTTGGTGGTCTTTTGTGTATGAATTCACATATTGCATGAAAATGTTTGTGCTTATAACTTCAACCCCTCGAAATGACAAATAAGCCAATAGACATAGTTTGCCAATAGGTAACAGCTCAGGAACAACTGAATAATTATTTCCAAAAATCTGGAAACGGGACCATCCAAGGAGCACGTGAATGCATCATTAAATGAACGCACCTTTAAAATGCCAATACTGTAGGCCTAAATTTAAAGCAATATTCTTGAATTAAAGTATTACTTGGCTACTTTTTCCCTCCCCACCATACCATGACTTCGTTTCCTCACCTGGAAAATGAGCACTTTAAAGTGGTTTCTCTTCAGCAGGTGGGTATGGTTCGCCTCCAGCTTCTTCACCTGGACCGCCTGCTTGTCCATGCGCTCCCGCACTTCCTTCAGGTTGCCACTCACTTTACGGGAGCGCTCGAGCAGCTTGCTGACGCTGTTGGAGGTGCAGATGTGGGTCTTGGACAGTCGGGTCACGTCACCTTGCACGACTTTAACGGCGCCCTCCAGGTCGGCCTGCCGCTGCTCCATGCGCTGCTGGTTGTCCTGCACGGCCTCCAGCATGTTCACCAGCTTGTCCAGCAGCGCCACCACGGTGATGGCGCTCACCTGGCCGCGGTCGACGGGGCTTCCTGGCACTGCAGCAGTGGGGCTGGTGGGACTTCTGAAACCCAGTCGGGAGAGGGTGCTGGTCGGGGTCGGGGAGGCCGGGGCGGAGGACGGGGTAAAGCTCGGGGTGAGGAGCTCCGCGTTTTCGGGCTGCAGCTGCGGGATGGTGTGGGTGCTGCCGGTGACGCTGCTCTTCTCGGCGTTGGACGCGTCTTCTTCCATGGTTCACAGGTGGTCAAATGTCCCGCTTTAGTGGGGGTAAATCACCTAAAACAGAGATTAGTGTTTCTTCTCCCTCTTCGACGCTGCTGCCACTTGCCCCAGCTCAGATCTGAAGACAGGCTGTTTTACTTCTTTAACTTGCTTCAGCATCCACGCCCCTTTCTATCTTTCCCTATCGACACACACACACACACACACACACACACACACACACACACACACACAACACACACGCAGGCACAAACACGCTGTGAACTTTCAAAACACCTCCCCTGCAAGCCAAAGGGAGGGGCCAGGTTGCTGTGGAAACCGGGCAGGCCTAGCCCTATTGACAGAATAGAGAGGTAGAGTTGTGTGTGAGTGTGTTCTTCCTTGTGCGCTTCACTTGCTGTGTGTGTGTTTTCATGTGACTGCCAACCATTCTACTTTGCCTGCATGCCTGGCTGCATTTGTGAAATATGTGCGAAGGCTTCTTTTGTTGACTGCACTTTCTGCTGTGTTTTTTTGTATTGTACCAAATGCAGTGGACTGCATTGTGATGGCGCTTGTGTGTATGTGCTTGTGTGTGTTTGTGAAAACAATAATATATTCTGTAACTACAATCCAAATCAGTGTGGCAGTGTTTTTTTTTTTTTTACGTGCAACAGGAACATAGCTGAATTGTTTCCACTGCTGTGCTGCAGGTTGAGATAAGTCATGGCCCATATTTTCCTTATGTGGTATGTATGTGTTGAACTGACCCTACGCTTATTTGAGAGAGTGTGTGCCGGGGTGTGATCGCCTCTTTCCTCTCCCCTCTCTTGTTTTAGTGCTCCATGTCATGGCATGGGGCACACAGAGATGGAAATGTGGAAATCCCTGTTTCAACAATGAGCTCATCTGCGCCCTGGCATGACGCCCCGCCTCTCTGCCTCGCTCTCAATCTTTCTCTTTGTCACTATCGCTGTCAATATTTAATTCACTGTAACACAATCTCTCATTCAGTGTGCCATGTTTTAAAATAGGCTCAAATATGTGGAAATATGTTGGAAAAAAATGTTCATAGAGGGAGTGAAGCATCTGTGTTTATATCTGTGTTATAAATTCCAATGTAGAGAACCTACTGTACGAGAACTATGAAAAGAATTTGTTCTATCGCTGCAGACTGTGGAAAACATCCAGGCCTGCTGAATTTTATTGGATTTTTGCCTGATATGGTGAAGGCTTGGTCACCAACCATCTCATCTAAAATCAATACTAGGTACTCACACCCTTACACTGAGATTAAGCTTCATGATACTACCTGTGTGTACACACAGAAAAGACACACCTAAGAAAAACATTAAAATCAATTGGCAGAGTTCAGAGTCCTCAGGTCCAAACCACATCAATGTCTTTTAAAACTGTGTGGTGGTTCAAGTGCTTTTTTTAAAGCTGTATTTTTGTGTCTTCATTTCAGATGACAGTGGATAGAGAGGGTCAATTGACTACCATCATGTTTACTGTTGCTCTACATAAAGTTCTGCAGAATAACAGGATTAGTTTCTGATTTTGGTAATACATTTTATACTTTTTGTGCTGTCTGAGCTATTGACAGGTACATAGTCAGCTCAGCTCAACACAAAAGCCCTTTTCAAAAATGCACTCCTGAAAATGTTTATGTCATTTCAGGAGGACTGCACCTCAAATTGTCACGTCTTGCCTTAGGGGTCTCCTAAAATAAGACATGACGTAAAAGGACGTAAAAATGACGTGAAAGGACAACACAGAAGTGATTTACGAAGCAACAGAGTCTGCTATACGACACAATATTTGCCTTCAATGCTAGTGTCTTTGAACAGAATACAAATGTCTACAAAAGACAGGAGGAGATCATACTAGCAGACAGAAAACATAATGCAGGTAAAAAATATCTAATGTCAGAGAGACTCTCGTAGCAGCCATGCCTCTACGCATTTTCAGCCTATATCATTTTAGTTTGGAGTTCTGAAGTGCTTCAAGTGATCATTCAAGGACCTGCAGTGATGGGCACTTTTCACTTTAATTTTATTAGCTCCATAGGATCTAACAAATGTAAATCAGGGTGGTTTTACACTATTAAGTTTGACTATTTCTTACCCCATTGTAGTGACTTCTAGTTTTGATACTTAGGTTTTATAGTTTCAACAAGAATTTTGCCTCAAACAAAAGTTTTGCTGGCTGTTTACCTCTGTTTCCTGGTCTTTGTGCTAAGCTAGGCTAACTGCCTGTGGGGTCATCCCTATGATCCCTCATTTTTATGAAATTTCCCCCTCCATCCAAATTCGGCCCTATGTTCCCTGAGGCCTACTTTCCCCCAGCATCAAGGGTGGCCCTTTTATATGGCACAGTCACAATGAATGGATGAAAAATTGACATATTTTATTGACGATCGAATAAACCTGCACAAATAAATCACTCTTGGTTTGTAAAGGCCTTTATGCTGCATTCGCACCAAAGTGAAAATAACATCAGTTGCTGAAGTTTGAAAAAGTTGAAAAATTTCAACTTCACTGAACAAGCAGGTGGCACAAATGAGGCACGTAATAATCTGAGGGAACATAGGGCTGAGGGAACATAGGGATGAGGGAACATAGGGATGAGGGAACATAGGGTTGAGGGAACATAGGGCTGAGGGAACATAGGGATGAAGGGATATAGGGCTGAGGGAGCATAGGGATGAGGGAACATAGGGTTGAGGGAACATAGGGCTGAGGGAACATAGGGCTGAGGGAACATAGGGTTGAGGGAACATAGGGCTGAGGGAACACAGGGTTGAGGGAACATAGGGCTGAGGGAACATAGGGTTGAGGGAACATAGGGCTGAGGGGACATAGGGATGAGGGGACATAGGGATGAGGGAGCATAGAGATGAGGGAACATAGGGCTGAGGGAACATAGGGCTGAGGGAACATAGGGTTGAGGGGACATCGGGCTGAGGGAACATAGGGCTGAGGGAACATAGGGCTGAGGGAATATAGGGCTGAGGGGACATAGGGCTGAGGGGACATAGGGCTGAGGGGACATAGACACACTCTGCCTGTGGGGGTAGCAGATATTTCTGTCAGGAAACCAATGCAATGCATTCCCCCAGATTACTATCAATTCTCTAAATAAAAAGAAACTGGTTCTTGCGGTTTTGGAAATAAAAGCCATTCAGTCACAGCTTTCCACCAGCTTTACATGTCAAGTGCTTTTGACACATTCTCCCATGTCAACATCCAACACTAACACCTCTTCTTGAGGTTACTCGCTCTTCAAGCTTCAAAGTTGCCACAGTAGAGTGGAAGTGCTAGACACACACTCGACTAAACAAATTTCCTTCCTCCTCTGACTGAAAACATCAGTGTTTCTGGCCCCTCTCTCTCTGCCACTGCTTCTCCTTGGAAACATACACTTTTGTCAACATATAAGCGTGACCTTCCATTCTGAGCTCTTGAACTCTGACTCTTCCCACTTTCACCCGTGGGATAGAAGTGGAGGGAATGACGCTCCCATCCTGTCATTCTTCCAGCTGTCCCTGTCCTTTCCTCCCCACCGGTTCACCTCTTCTCCATGCTTCCCCTTTTCAGTAACTTATCTTCTGCTTTCCTGAATTCTTCATGAATGTACAGTGTGAGGAACATTTCACATATTTCCAGTGATGTCTACAAGAATGTTGTCTTTCCCCTCATGCGTTTATAACATTACATATTTATTTAAGGTTCAATTTGCTGTTTTTCTTCCTACATTTACATGTAGAAAATTAAGTCATAGACACACGCTGCTCGTGAATGATTAAAAAAAAAAAAAAATGCTGGTGAAGGGAGCTGGGAGAGATTGATGTGTATGCCCCCTGGAGGTCAAGATATGCAAGTGCATAATCTAACTGACAGTTCAGTGAGTTTTAGACCATTGTAGAGGAGAACAATGAAAAAGGAGTTTTTTGTGTGCAGTTTCTAAAAATAATGAATGCACTTATAATATAATGGAGACACTGAGTCACTGTCTGCAATTATCTTACTTTCTCTTTTTATTGGCAGTTATAGTCACTACTTGGGTTTGAAATCAACTACAGACAGTTTACAAAGTGAAATCTCCCACTGTTCTTTAGAACAAGTTCAATTAGAGCTGCTGCAGCAGAAACAGCAATCATCATATCCCTGTATTTCAACAAACATGCTGCAGCAAGTCATTGAATGATTGAGCTTTGTATCCTGGTTACCTTCCTGGAGTTGCTTCATAATCTTCAACAGGGGGTGTGGTAACCGTTGGCTTTTGGCAAACTAGCTGGCTGGTTGATCAACTTGTTTCTTTGTATTTAACAGCACAGTCCCATGCAGGGGAGGACTATATTGAATCCATTTGCATGAAAATAAGGCCTTTATCTTACTTTTCAATCTAAAGCTGTTTTCACATATCCTGAAAATATCTAGATAATTTCTAGATAAGAGGACTGCTCCGGATATTCTCCAGACCTGGCTGCTCACTGCACCTCACAGCAGGAGACTATACCTGTCAGATGGGAGTGGGGTCTGAGGAAGTAGCAGACAAATCAACGGCCATACATTGCTATAATGAATATATTTGCCCAATGCAACGTGTAGTTTCAAGGAATCACAAAATTAACAAAAGGGCGAATTAGAACATATACTGACAAACAGAAAACATAAGCCGATGATGTGCATGGAGATTGTAGCAGTAGCAGTAGCGTGCACTGAAGAAGCTAGGTGCTGGCAGAAGAAAATCCAGTTTTTCAGGAGTTTGTAAAAGCCCTATAACAGTGCTTTCACACTTGCTCGAAAACAAAAAAAAAAAAAAAAACACTCCTGAAATTTTCTGTTCGAGCTGCATGAGTGAACGCAAGCAGCCACAATTTTCACTCAGACTTTACCCGGAGTTTTCTTGCCAGCCCCCTAGATTCCTTTCCTTCAGAAAGTCTGAGTGAGCTGATGTGAGAACGCAGTAGGTTATAATCACGAGAATCCCCCTCAAGGGAGTGGGAGGGGAGGGTGGCGTAAATTCTCTAGAAATTTTCAGGAGTTCTATGTGAAAACAGCTTAACATGTTTGTTGATGAGTTCTTCAGGGAACAAAACTAACAAAACGAAGTCTTTTACATATAAAGAGCTGAAGAACATGGTTTACCTTTCAAGTCTGGGCAGGGACAACTCTTTACACCCTTACAAACACACATTCAATTGCTTGTACAAAGAAGGTTTCTCAATCT